GACTGGCATTCACCAACAAAAGCACAACAACACATAGAACACAGTCATAAAATCAACTGGGTTGGAAGAGACTTCCAAGATCATCAAGTCCAACCCTACCGTGGTCACTAGACCATGGCACTAAGTGCCACATCCAGTCTCAGCTGGATGGTGAATCCAACAGGGATGGTGAATCCAACAGGAATCAGGGATGGTGAATCCAACACCTCCCTGGGCAGCACATTCCAATGCCTGAGCACTCTCTCTGTAAAAAATCTCTTCCTAATACCCAACCTAACCCTCCCCTGGCAGAGCTTGAGTCTGTGCTCTCTTGTCCTGCTGCTGGTTGCCTGGGAGAAGAGACCAACCCCCACCTGACTCCAACCTCCTGTCAGGGAGTTGCAGAGGATGATAAGGTCTCCCCTGAGCCTCCTCTTCTCCAGGCTGAACACCCCCAGCTCCCTCAGCCTCTCCTCATGGCACTTGTGCTCCAGTCCCTTCACCAGCCTCATTGCTCTTCTCTGCACCTGCTCCAGCCCCTCAATGTACCTCTTGACCTGAGAGGCCCAGAGCTGAGCACAGGATTCAAGGTGTGGCCTCACCAGCACCTAGTGCAGGGAAAGAATCACCTCCCTGGTCCTGCTGACCACACTGTTCCTGACAAAGGCCAGGTTGCCATGTCACCATTTAAGTCATCTCTCTCTTGACTGATCATTTAACCTCAGTTCTTGGACATTAAATGAAGCACACTGACACTACTTGCCATTTTCAGAAAGAAATAATTATTCTGAAAATAAAATTAACTGTTGGTCCTGCATTTGTTGGAAGGAGGATTGTTCCACTGATTTGTGGAGGGGGATTTCAACTGGGATTAAACAGGTAAGAATTCTATTAAATGCAACATCAGTTTCCCTGATAAATAGCTCTGAGATCAGTTATGTACAGAAAATTATTCTCTACCTTATTTTTTCACTTCAAAATGTAAAATTTGATCTTTTTAGAAGTTCACCAACAAGAGCAAATCAGAATTAAACACTTACAAGCCTAAATATGTCACTCTCAAATTGTTAAGGACACTTGTTTCTATTTTTTTATGCTTCTGCTAGGCTGAATGTCATGTGAAAACCAATTTAGAAAGTATGACTGCGTGAAAACAGGAAAGATGGCAGAAATGCATCGCAGACAGAAATTCCAGAGCATTGACTGATCCTGAGGAAATTGTGCATAGTTCTGAAATGTGTTTAAGGACTAACATTTGAAGGAAGGGTACACAGCACTTTCTGAAAATCAGGCCCATAGAATCATAGAACCAACAAGGTTGGAGGAGATCTCTAAGATCATCCAGTCCAACCATTAACCTGTCACTGCTGGAACCCCTAAACCCTAAACCAGATCCTCCAGTGCCAGATCCAGACACCTCTTAAACACTTCCAGGGATGGTGACTCCATCACCTCCCTGGGCAATATTCCAGTGCCTGAACACCCTGGCAAGGAAAACATTTTTCTTTCCCTAACAGCTGTGTCTCTCCTGTCTCAGCAAAAATGAAACCAGTTCCAACCACTAAGCCAAAAGCTCTGACATTTAAAAATATTTTAGGATTGGGTTTGAAGTGAAGACAGTTCACTTTTTTAATGACTCATGACTGACAACTTAATATTGTTTATCACAGGCCTTTGGCAAACTATTTAGACAGAAATGCTACATTTTTAAAGGATGATATGTCTCTCCTGTCTCAGCAAAAATGAAACCAGTTCCAACCACTAAGCCAAAAGCTCTGACATTTAAAAATATTTTAGGATTGGGTTTGAAGTGAAGACAGTTCACTTTTTTAATGACTCATGACTGACAACTTAATATTGTTTATCACAGGCCTTTGGCAAACTATTTAGACAGAAATGCTACATTTTTAAAGGATGATATGAAACAGTGAATGTGGGGGAGAGGGTGATCGTTTTGGGAAGCATCCTCAGGCAAAAACTTAGCAGGTATTTGAGAAGCTCAGAGCAGGTGGCTCACATGAAAGGAGCTTAAGGTGCAACAAGGATCTTCTCACAAACTACACATGACCAAGACAAGGACAGCACAGAACCATATATAGAATCACAGAATCAGTCAGGTTGGAAGGGACCACAGTGGCTCACCTGGTCCAACCTCCCGGCTCAAGCAGAGCCATCCCAGAGCACATGGCTCAGGATTGTGTCCAGATGGTTTTTGAATACCTCCAGTGAGGGAGAATCCACAGCCTCTCTGGGCAATGTGTTCAATGCTCAGTGACTGTACAGTAAAGACTTTTCTCCTTGTATTCAGATGGAACTTCCTGGGCACCAGTTTTTGCTGTTCCCCCTTGTTTTATTGGTTTCCACCACTGAGCAGAGCCTGATTCATCCTCTTGGCACTTCCCATTCATGTACTTGGATACATTAATGAGGTCCCTCTCAGTTGTCTCTTTTTGAGACTGAACAGCTCCAACTCCCTCAGCCTTTCCTCATCACTGAGGTGCTCCAGTCCCTTCAGCGTCTTCTTCCCTTGCAATATATCATGTCAAAGTATATAGGAGGCTCTAATGATGCCATCTTAATCGAGTACTTCAGCATGAATCTTCTCTTGGGGCCAAATGCCCAGAAAAATGAGGCAATGTGACCAGTTGGGTTAATACTAGACATGCAGAAGGAATCAAAGAGTAGACTATCAACACCACACAAAAAAACCAACAGCTTTTTCCTGTGGGCACTGTCATGAACTGGATATGTAGGTTTATAACCAAACAAATCCAACAAAATCCATTTGGAAAGCAGCCTAATGAAATCCTTTTAAGGCAACATTACAAAACACTCCTGGAAGTTGAGGCTGTTGCTTTTTATCACCTTGGGCTTTCTCAAGCTGATCTCTCAAAGCAGGCAGGTAAATGGAAGAGCATATCAATCCCAAACAAGTCCATCTCAATTTTCAGCATGAAGAAGTACTAATAAATTCAATGAACTTATATTTTCTAGTATGTATGTATGTGTTTGCAGGATTAAGGCCACACTGGAAAGTAAATACACAGCTTTTGGTTGCAATACATGGTTACAAAATGAACAGTGGCTTTAAAAAATCTGCCTATGGTATAGCAAGTACCTGATATATACCCAGGGCAGACACAAAGTCAATTCAGACAATGCTACTGGAAAATTTTTCCCTCACTTCTGTGACATAACTTAATTTCACTCCCTTATTCAGAGATGAACTCCATGCATTAGAAGTCCCTAATTCATTTATTTTAACACTAAGAAACCCAGTCAATTGCTTCAGTTGGCAGCATTTTGTTCTTCTCATTTGGTCATAGTGTGAAATGTCCTCAAAATGAAGCACATAAAGCTCCTAATTAGGTTTAGAAATTGCCAATTTCTTCTTCGTTTATACAGAAATGTTCTCCTCTTTTGGCAGATAAAATCAAGAGGAGAAAAGAATCAGAAGGAAAGAAGCTACTTCAGACCTGACTCGAAAAATAGTTCACATTTGAAACTGTTTGCATAAGTGATGACAAATCTGCAGATATTTTTATTTGCATCTTAATTTAAAGAGCCAAACAACATTTCAGATGCACAGGGTACAAAACTGCACAACCCCCAAAATGCCTTAATTCTGTCTTCAGTATCTTGAGACATGTAACTGTGTGCTGAGTAATGACTAATTACAGGTTTAGATTTCTTACTCAAATCAACACTTTGCAGTAAAAAACCACATTGGTTTAAATCTTTTCCAAACTAATTTTTCTTCTATTTTACTACTGACCAGTAGAGAGGCATGAAAGAAGTGAACTGCCTTCACACTCAATCCTAAGACATTTTTCACGTCCTCTCCTGCACATTAGTATTGTTTAGCCCACTTTTCTCCTCCAAGTGCTTTAGAAGTGAAGTACTCTAAGAAAGTGGAGCAAGCATGAACAGAAGAGGGGGATGCTGTTCTAGGCAGCAAGAAGCAATGGAGTAAAAGTTGGCAAGATAATGCTACCTGAGGAAAAGCCTAGCCTAGCTGCAGAGGTCAGTCAGAGCCTATGGGAACAGGGATACACATTCTCTGTTCCTGCAGAGGCTTGTACTGACAGGAAGTGGTTGGGAAAAGAGTTTGAGGTAAGTTGCATGTGGATAGAGTATTAAGAGCAGTCACACCTTTTGCTGCCAGTGTGGGTTCAGCTCTTGCCACCAGTGGAGAAACCCACCCGTTCTGTTCAGTTTATAGTTGTTTTGCTTGAGTTACTCACAACCAAACCAAACAATTCCTTCTGGCATCCTCCTTGTGATCTTACTCAAATCAATCATTTTCCTACAGTAATATGAAACCTTGATTTGCAAACCCTAAAGAAAAGGTTTAGTTACATCGTGTTTTGACAACCAAGGTTTTGCCTGAGGGTGGCAAAGGCACATAAAGGTCCAACCTAAGCTTTCTGGTTT